TATATTATATATATATATATATATATATATATAATATATATATATATATATATAATATATATATATATATATATATATATATATATATATATATATATATATATATATATATATATATATATATATATATATATATATATATACATATATATACATATATACATATATATATATATATATATATATATATATATATATATACATTATTTAAATATATACATATATGTAAACACATACACACATGTGTATATATGCATACATATCTATATATATATATATATATATATATATATACATATATACACATGTATATTTATGCATATATATATATATATATATATATATATATATATACATATATATATATATATATATATATATATATATATATATATATATATATATATACACATTTATTTAAATATATACATATATGTAAACACATATACACATGTGTATATATGCATACATATATATATGTATATATATACATATATACACATGTATATTTATGCATTTATATATATATATATATATATATATATATATATATATATATATATATATATATATATATATATATATATATATATATATATATACAACTATAAATGCGTATTTAAACAAGTATATGGACATCACACTAAAATAGCCTGCTGCCTCTTTTACCAGCTTTACAATTACTTTTAGTACATATATCAATTATTTTATAACCTGCTGATGTATTTAATAAAAAAACTGTAGGAAATTTTGTTTAAAAATTATAAATGTTACAGTGTTATCATTTTAAGTTGCCAAATATTTGTGGCTATGATGAAACAAGGGTTTCTGTTGTTTATGTACCAACAAAATTTTAGATTCAAAAAGCAAAAAACAAATATAAAGTTTTACAATTAAAGAATAAGACATTATTACAACAATTGTTGCAGCTATCAATGTTATAGATAGTGTGTTAAATTTTTACTTTGAATAAAATATCTTTTACAAAGATTAAATATTTTGTAGCTAATGCTACAGACAGGCAAATAGTAAACTTCAACCTTAATACAGTAGCACAAGCAACAATATTAAAGGTGAAGTATCAGCTCTGAAAATTTATTAATAACACTAATTGCTTCACTAGAAGCAATAGAATGTCACCCACAAGCCATACCAAGGTAGACAACAGTTGCAAAAAAGAGTAAAGAACAATTATTTTAACTAATACAGCTAAAAAATCTTATAACAAAAAAACAATCTTATAACAAAAAAAAAAAGAAAAAAATTTAATTTTAGATAATTTTGTTTTGACAAAACTGATTTATGCCATAAATATGCTTATCAATGGATACATATATATGAATTAATAAAAAATAAAAATAATAAAATTTTTTCACGAAACCTTATCAATTTGAAAATCTATATGACTAAAGTTGTTAAAGATGATAAAACCTAATATGACTGAAGTTGTTAAAGATGATGGCCTTATACAATTTAAATATTTTAAGATATAAGGGGACTTCAGAAATATATTTATACAAAAAGATGGCAAGAACTGTGTAAAACTAGAAGGTGCTAACAGATCAACAAGAAGATATTAGTAGCTTATTTTTTATTGTTAAAATTGAGAATTAAACTTTGTAGTAAAGTAAATTACTTTTTGCCAACAAACAACTATATAAACAACAACAACAAAAACAAGCTGTTTATTTTCCTTATATCATTTTTCGAATAGTATTTATAATAAAAATAGTAATAATAATAACAACCATAATAATAATAGCAATAATAATAATAATAATAATAATAATAATAATAATAATAATAATAATAATAATAATAATAATAATAATATGAGATAAACAACTTTATACAAATTATAGTATTAGTCATACATGTATATTTATAAAATTATCAATTTAAATATATATATATATATATATATATATATATAAATATATATATATATATATATATATATATATATATATATATATATATATATATATATATATATATATATATATATAATATTGTTATAAGAATAGTAATATATTATATGAAAACACATAAAAATTTAAGTAACCTCATTATTGGAACATTTTCTTGGCCACTGTTAAAATCAGTTCTACTGCATAATGCTCCAATTCTTGCAAGTGCTTCCCATGTTAATGATTCTAGTTGCTGACTAAAACTTGATTGATTTTCTGAAGTGTTTAATTCAACAGTTTGGAGATCAAACCAAACATGAGAAACAGTCATTCTATTTTGTGTTAAAGTCCCTGTTTTATCACACAATATTACAGATGTACTCCCAAGGGTTTCAACAGCTTGCAAATGTCTCACTAAGCAATTCTTTTTAGCCATTTTTTTTGCTGTTAAACTTAGACAAACCTTACAAAAAAATAAAATTAATTATCAGTAATGACCAAACTAAAAAAAAATTTGAATAAAAAGACTTTTAAATACTGTTACAATAATAAATATACTGTGACAGTGCAGAGAAGGCCTTCTGGAACATTTGATACAATAATAGCAATAAGATACACAATTGACTGGACCCAATTATAACCCATGCTCATATAAAGGATGAAAAAGAGTACACCAAAAAATACAGCAACAACAGTGATAATTTTGATAAAATGCTCTATTTCAATAGCAAGTGGTGTTTTTCCATGATGTAATCTTGATGCAAGATCCACAATATGACCCATAACTGTGTTTTTACCAACTTTAACAACAATACCAATTCCAGATCCCTCAACCACGTTAGTTGGGAAAAAACCTAGATTTTTGGTCTCAATAGGATTGACAGAAGTGCAGAGAATACTCCGAGATTGAGGCTCTGATTCTCCTGTCAATGAAGAGTTGTCAACCTAAACATGAATATATATTGCTCTATTGTACTTTTTACTGCATTTACTGTTGAGAGTTGGTAACTAGGTATTATGTATTATAACAACAACCATTATACTTAAGTGGGAATGCATTATAAAAACGAGTAATATGTTTTAAATCAAAATAGAGAGTGTTTGTTTGAGACTTTTATTAACAATTTTTTATTTGTTAGTTGGTCTTAAAGTATATAAATTAAAATTATAAATATATGTTTAGGATAGGGAACTTAACATTTACCTTGTGATATTCTTTTAATGAGATTTGTAATAAAATTACAAATTACTTTAGAAAGAAATATCAAATAGTATTAAAGTTATAGTACAAAACTATAATGCAAATGTAAGAAAATTCATATTTTTATTTTTAAGAACTTTTATTTCATAAAAAACATCATATTGAAAGTCTATTATGATTTTCAAAAAAAAAAGAAATATTTAAATGAAAAAAATGTTTATTTGAGTTTGACAAAGCACTTAAAATGACTCTTCCTAAACTTTATCTTTTAAAATTAATTTCTATTCAAATTTAAAAAAAAAATTTAGAAAAATATGTAATATAAGCAAGAAATTTTTTTTTTTGTACTGAAAAGAAAAATTTACATTAAAAAAAATTACCTTCATTCCCTTAGATTCAACAATGCGAACATCAGCAGGGATCCTATCTCCACTTTTCAAAAATACAACATCTCCCACCACACATTGACTAGGATTTATAGCCACTTTTGATCCGTCACGCAATACAATGGCTTCTTGAGGAATAAGTTTTTTAAAGCTTTCCATAATCTTTAAACTCTTTGTTTCCTAAATTTTAATAACTTTATTACCAAATAGATCAGATAAAAAAATAAAAATTATTAATATTTCCTATAATAATAAAAATAATTTTTTCTCCAATTTTAATTGTATGTGTGTGTGTGTATATATATATATATATATATATATATATATATATATATATATATATATATATATATATATATATATATATATATATATACATATATATATATATATATATATATATATATAATATATATATATATATATATATATATATATATATGTATATATATATATATATATATATATATATACATATATATATATATATATATATATATATATATATGCATAGATACATTTTTATGCTAAAAAAAAGAAAAAAAAACTAAATCGATTAAAAGTCAACTAGTGGAAATAATCAAAATAAGTCAACTTTAAAAAATCTAATAGTCAATATAATCAACTTCCTGCAAATCAACTAAAAGTTGATTTAGTTGGGTAAAACTCAAAACTTAAAATCTTTATATGTTTTTGATTTAACTTTTCAATTGATTTAACTTTTAATTTTCATTTTTGTTTGTTCATTTCATAAAATTTACATATTGGAGAAGGTTGCATAAGTTGAGTGTGTTAACAGTGTATTGCTTTTGTAGCCGAAATATTATAATGTTTTCATTTATTTTTGCAGATTATCCTAATTTTTGCTCTTAAAAAATATGAATGAATAGTTTATTAAAAAAGAAGTCTTTAAACCAAAAATTGAGTCATTTTCAACACACCCAATCATCTCATCTTAGGAAACCAGTTACCTTAGATGAGCTTTTTTTAATGGAACTTGAAAAACCTCAATATATAAAAAAAAAATATCACAAAATTTTTTTTAGTTATATTGTATCTTTAAGGGCTATACTAAAGTAAAAAGTAACCATTTCAACCATTAAAAAAAAAAATCTTTCCTATTTCTAAAAAAGTTTGCAATACTATTTTTTTAAAAATAACCTTTGCTTCAAATGTAAAATTTAAGTGATTTATAATAGTATGTGTAATAATATTATAAGCATTAAAACATCATATACGGTATTATACTATTTATATATTTTTTTACATGATATTTCGGTTCATATAGTTAGAGACATTATCAAACTAATAAAACAGTAAAAAAAACCACGACCTCACAAGATATTTTTGTATAGTTGTTTGAAATAACAGCAGTTTTAGATTTCTCTCAGTTTATTTTACTATTACAATGTTGTGAATGTTCTAATATTCCAGATGTATTCCAGTTGGCTTTTGTAACATTTTTATGTTCTTGAATTTGTGTGGAAATCTTTTTCACCAATATAACATGCACCACATGTGTAATCAATTGGTACACTCCTGGATGATTATTTGGAGGTAGTTTAGCCTTATTATGGCAAATATATTGATCAATGGATTACCAAAACGAAATACTGTTTTAACGCATCTTATTTTATTGACTGTTTAATAGCATCTGATTCATCTTTATTTGTATCAACAGCAAAAGAATGGCTTATTAATGATGAGGTTTAATTGTCAGTTGATGTTATTAATTTATACCTATCAGTACCACTTGATTCTGTTATAATTATTGATATGCTAAACAAAGATAGAGACAATCTAATACAACAAACTAAATATTTTCTGGTAAACATTCATAGACTAATTGATCTCTGTATTAGTAAGTGTTGTTATTTATGGGAAGATATAAAATAAATAATTTAAAAAACTCTGATTCAATAGGTCTATCAATAATGGTCGTCATGTCAGAAGCATATTTACAACATATTGAATCTAATGTTGTTCAGCAGGTTTTAAATGCCAATATTGCATCAAAAACTCATAAACTTTATGTTGATGATAGCCAAGCTTGATTAACTAATATTGATGACACAAATTTTTTTAACACTTTTAAATTCACAAGATAAATCTATCCAATAACATGCAAATACAAAAATGCTCAACACCAATTAAATTTTTTTAATATTTGTATTTCAACCAATTTACAAATATGAGTTTTCCATACACTGTAAAGATGCAATTATAAACATGCTTATAAAACCAAAAACATCAATTTCACCAAGTATTACAGTTGGTATTTTTAAAGGTTTTTAGCTAGATCATACAAAATTTGTACAGAATATTTTCCTGTTAAAATTTTAACTGAAAATAGACATTCCTATAAACAATATTCAGATATTGCTAAAAATTATAAATACTCCACAAATCCATCTTATTCTCAAAAAAATGATACCAAAAATCTAGTTAATTTACCATAGGTCCCAAAATTAGGCTTTATTTTAAGAAGAGAATTTAGTAAAGTTGGCATTAAAACAGTCTTGCATTTTCGTAATCTCTTATTCAATAAACTTTGCCATAAAAAGTCTAAACTGTCTCCAAATAGTCATCCAGGAGTGTACCAACTTATTTGGGGGTTCAAGTTACATTTGTGAAACATGAAAAAAATTTCCACATAAATTCAAGAACATAAAAATAATGTTAAAAAAGCAAACTGGGATACATTGGGAATAGTAGAGCATTCACAACATTGTAATAGTAAAATAAACTGGGAGAACCCTAAAACGCTTTGCTGCTATTTCAAACAACTATACAAGAAAATTTTGTGAGGGCATTAAAATACAACCTGTGCAATGTGCAAAATTTAAAGACGTTTTAAATTGTAACAAAATCTAAAAGAAACGTTTTAAATTGTGACAATTTCAATTTGGTGATGACTCACCATTGGAATCCACTTATTGAGAAATTAAAAAATGTTGAACATCTGATGTTGCAATGACATCATTTTGTTATGTTCATTAAACTTTTTAAAACGGTTATTTTATGGTTTTATTTTTTTTGGTTCTATATGAGCCAAAATATCATGTATGATATAATATATGTATATATATATATATATATATATATATATATATATATATATATATATATATATTATATTTATATATATATATATATATATATATACGTATAGATATAAACTTATATATATATATATATATATATATATATATATATATATATATATATATATATATATATATATATATATATATATATATATATATATATATATATATATACGTATAGATATAAACTTATATATATATATATATATATATATATATATATATATATATATATATATTTATATATATTTATATTTATATATATATATATAAATATGTATATATATATATATATATATATATATATATATATAACTTATACTTATATATAACTTATATATTATAATATATATATATATATATATATATATATATATATATATATATATATATATATATATATATATATATATATATATATATATATACTGTATATATATATATACAGTATCGGACAAAACTAGTGCAACCAAATAATGCTCATTTAGTTTCTTTATATAATAGTGATGCATTTTTTCAATTTAGAGAAATAACTATGTAACTGTTTAGAGACAACGTTCTTTAAGGTTTATTCATCACAAAGTTCATTAATTGTACACAAAAATTAATAAATTTTTTAAAAGTATTAAAAAAAGTTGATTTCCTTCTGGACAAAACAAGTGCAACTCCACAAAATGTTGACCAAGCTGTATTTCGTAATCAATATTTTGTAGCGAATCCTTTGTTGTCAATTACAGTCTTGCATCTTCGATGCATAGATTCAATCAAGTGATCAATGAAACTTTGTGGAAATGCTGCTTAGGCCTTTATATCTATATATAAGTTTATATCTATACGTATATATATACGTATATATATATATATATATATATATATATATATATATATATATATATATATATATATATATATATATATATATATATATATATATTTATAAACTAAAAACGTTCTTAAAACAGTCCCTGTACACTCTAAAAACATTTATTCGTGTAGCTTTTTTACTCACTTCGACCTTTCAGAACTCTCTCCTGTCTTCATGTTTTTTTGACTCATAAAACCTATAACTTTTCAAGTCTTCACTCAACTTTTTATGTAAAAAGTTTAGCAAATGCTATAAATCAAAAATTAAAACATCAAAAAAAAAATTTAATTGACCGGCCGATAAAAACAGTTGACCATTAAATTTGTGTTAATCAGTCATGTTGATTACCTACCTTTGTTTAATTATTTTGTGCACTGATATATATAAATATTTTTCAAAAGAACTTTGCTTTTTCAATAAATCAAGTCAAAGTTAAATTTACTTTCATCTATTTTTCCAAAGAATACCCATTTCTCCCTTTACTCCACCTTAATCTTGTAAGTGGACCTCTGGCCATCAGAATGGACTTTTAAATAGTGTTAATAATGTTAATAATAATTCTTTGTAAAATGATTTTAACTGTACCTAAAGACAGATATTTTTCATGGCTATTGTTAAATGTGTTGCTAAGTTCACAACAGTTTAACCTTAGATAAATTTTACCTAACAAAATATAACACTGTTTTTGCATTATATGTAGCTTTTTTTAACCTTCTGGATTCTGCATAAGAATGGATGCCACTTGTCATTTTAAAATGTTTTCAGAGTCTTTCTGACCAGTTCTTTGAAACTTATATGTGTGTGTGTGTGTATGTGTGTGTGTGTGTGTGTGTGTGTGTGTGTGTGTGTGTTATATGCAACCATAGACCTGTTGACATTTTAATTTCATTATTTGATGACAAGTATATTGATTGGAATGAAAAACTACATTTCTAATACAAAGGTAGTTGTTTAACAACCATGATGTAATCACATAAATAAAAATATGAATTGTATAAATTTTAATTTTAATAGAGATTTATTTTAATAGAGATTAATTTTTTTGGAGATATGAAGTTTTTGTTTATATTAGATTGTATTTTATAATATAATGGAGACATTTTATTACTAAATTTCTGCTAAAACATCTAAATGATCACACCACATTTACAAAACTACCAAAAACATAAGTTGCATCTGCTGCATATTCTGCAACTTTTCTTGTTAACTAATTTATCTTGTTAACTAATTCTATTGTTAACTAACTTTTTGTCACCAACGCAGTAAAATTAACTTGTCAGCTTCTTAAGCAAGCAAGCAAAATAAATGTGACCAAGGTTTTTTAAAAATAACACTAACGTTAGTGATTTCTTTACAAAATGTAAGCACCTTTTAAAAATGTAAGTAGTTTTTTTAAAAACTTTTCAAAAAACATTAAAGTGAGATAAATTAGATATATATATATATATATATCTAACTTTTTCACAAAATAAAAAATCAATATCAGCATTTAGAAAATGTAAAATCATTTGGATCTCTGATTAACTTAATCTTGTAAATTAATTATCATAAATAAATAAACCAGGTTTTTAAATTAAAAAAATGTAATAGGCAACTTTACAGCTATAAAGCCAAGTATTTTTTAACATAAAATACTTTTGAGTTTGTTTATGTAATTCAATTAAAATAGTGTTTTAGAATAGAGTTTTTATTTTCATGTTAAATTTTTTTGTTGGGGTTGGGTGTGGAGTGGTGTTAGTAGTGAAAGTAGATTAGATACCTGGATAAAAATTATAGTGGGGGATTGTAGGGGGAGGGGAAGAGAAAGCATAAATTGTCGTTATGCTACTGGATTCAAATCACATTAGGTTTTTTAAAAACACAAAATTCAATTTTATCTTAATTGGTATTTTCCATTTTTATCTTTTTAATAATTAAGCTATTTTTATGCTCAAAACATTGTGGTGAACGGACGCGTTTTGCTTAGCAAAGAAATTTTTTTTTCGCTTTTTGTTTTATTATTTTTTCGCTTGCTGGATTAAAAAAGTTTATTTCACATAATGAATAAATCGAAAAAGTTCATTAATGACGATAAAGAAGTCTCAATAAGTATTGTTCAAGAAATATTCAAAGAAATGTTTCAAAAACTGCAAAACGATATTCTTAAACTTATCAGCGGAAACTTAAAATTATCCAACGACAGAATTGATGACTTGAATGCAGAAATATTATCAATAAAAGAATCGTATAAAACTCTGTTCCATGAAAACGAATCAAGGAAAGTAGAACTTGAAAATGTCAACAAATAACTAAAAAAATATGAATGTGTTCAAAGAGATATTGAAGAGAGTCTTAATTTTTCTCAAGATATTCAAGAAAAAAAAGTACATGACCTAGAGGAAAAAATTCACAACAAAACAGTAATCGGTCCAACAGAAAAAAATAAAATTAGACAGAAGACAGTCAAAAAAGAAACAATCTATGAATTGATGGACTTAAAGAGAACAAATCGGAAAGCCGAATTAAAAGTCATTAAAGTATTTGAAAACAATCTCAACATAAAAGGAGTTACTATTGTCCAAGAATTATAGTAATGAAGTTATTAAATTATAAGGATAAGATTCAAATAATAAAAAACGCACACAAACTCAAAGGAACAAATATTTACATAAAAAAGGATTATTCCTTTAATACAATGGTTATACGGAAAAAATTACTTGAAGAAATGAAAGTCAACAGGAACAACGGTACGTACTCGATTTTTATTTATGATAAACTAATAGTAAAAGAATTTCAAAAAAATCAGAATGCTAAAATTTAATCATTTCAATTTATTATGTTTTTTGGTCTTTATACTTTTTTATTTATAATGGATAAAACTATAAATTTTTATCAAAAGTTTAAATCTTTTCAAGTCAACAAAACTATACTTCTAGATAGTCATTCAGATCCAGATATTAACTTTTATAATAGTAGCGATGAAATGAAAAACATAAGTCCATTATATTACAACTTAAATACTTCAAACCATGAAATAGATATAGATGCGTTCTCAATCCTACATTTAAATATTAGAAGCATTCAAAAAATTTTTGAGAAATTTAAACTTTTTTTTACTCAGCACAAAACGGAGTTTATTTGCCTCACAGAAACTTAGTGTCACAATATTGAAATTGAAAACAATTCAAATTTTCAGTTAAATAATTATAAAGTAGTTCATCAACTTAGAAACTCTAATAAACCAGGTGGAGGAGTATGGATCT